GGAAAGGAAAGGAAAGGAAAGGAAAGGAAAGGAAAGGAAGGAAAGGTCAAATGTCCCACTGTGTCAGCTCATGAAGCTTGGATAGGAAAGATGCAGCCATGACGGACATAAGGAAGGAAGGAAAGGAGGGAGGGGGGGAAGGAAGGAAGGAAGGAAGGAAGGAAGGAAGGAAGGAAGGAAGGAAGGAAGGAAGGAAGGATCAGTTGTCCCATTGCCAGCTCATGAAACTTGGATAGGAGAGATGCAGCCATGATGGAACCAAAGAAGGCAAGGAAGGCAGGGGAAGAGGGAGGAAGGAAGGAAAGAAACTAGGAAAGCTCTGGAAAGATCCCATTAGCCTTTCTGGGGAGGGGGTGAGGAAGACAGACCCTACTGTGTCTTCAGGGGATCTCCGCCCTCCAGTGAGGCCTGGATTCTGCTGGGTTTTGGCCCCAGCTTCCTCCCTGGGCAGCCAGCACAAGAGTGTTTTTCCTTGCCTGCCCCGGAGGCAGATAAATTACCCTGACGCTGCACCCATTCAGAGAAGCCGTGCAAATCATAGGCGGTCATAATTAGAAGGGAGAGGTTTCAGACGGATACCCTGTGAGCTACAGACACCTTTACAAAGGGGAGATAAAGTAGGAACGATACAGCGCAGGTAGATTACGCAGAGCTCAGATAAATTATAAGCAGTTAGAGGAAGTGGAAGCTGGGAAATAAATCAGACCAGGCGAGGAATGCGGAGATCTGCCCCTCTGCGTTCGAGGACTCTCTCGTTCTTTTCCTTTTGTGCCTCTCCTAATTTAATCATCTTTTCCCTCTTCCGTTACGCAGTGACTCAGCTTCAGACCACTTTAGCCTCCGTCCAGGAGCTGCTCGTTCAACAGCAGCAGAAAATCCAGGATTTAACCCAAGAACTGGCTACCTCCAAGGTATCTCGCTTTTCGACGCCCGTACAATCTTTCCAAGCAATTTACCTAAAGTTTTGTGAGCCTTTCCTCCCTCCCCCTCCCCCCACTCCCAAATCCCAAATCCCAG